AGTACCCCCAAGTCCTTCTCCTCAGGGCTGCTTTCAATCCATTCTCCACCCAGCCTGTACTTGTGCTTGGGATTGCCGTGACTCAGGTGCAGGACCTTGTACTTGGCCTTGTTGAACTTCCTGAGGTTCACATGGGCCTGCTTCTTGAGCTTGTCCAGGTCCCTTAGGCATGTCAACCACACCACTCAGCTTGGTGCCATTTCCAAATTTGCTGAGAGTGCACTTAACCACTTGTACAGCCTTACTATATATATTCAACTTTTAGAAATAGTGATTATACAGATTAGAGGCTTTGAATAAGTTAGTCTTCAGTTATGTGTTTTAGTTTCTGCAAGTATCAGTTAATGTAAGTGGAAGAAAATTTGACACAACATCAACGATATCAAGTGTAGTATTTCAGAATGCAGCTGTTGAATGTTCTCTGGTAATACAGTCCTTGCTATGGTCTTTTTCTGAGTTTCTGTTATAATGTGGCTTAATTATGGAAAATCTGTAATTTGGTCCCTACAAGTTACTGTCTTAATTATTAAAAATAATTATTGCAAATAATTTAAAAATACATTGTTAATTTTTTATATACATAATTATTTGGCAAAGTAGAACATTGTATGATTGAATATATTTTAAGGTTTTGAGAAGTTGCCATGCTCCAGGGTCTTTAAAGATTATCGTACTCAAAGTAGTTGTTTCCATATTGCCTCATTCCATTATTGTTGGAAGAAAACTAGTAATGACCATTATAACAAGAGTTTTACTATGACTTGTGAAAATTGAAGTTGCTGATATGTCTTCTAGTCTCCTTTATTGGTAAATGCATTCCTGATCAGATTTTCTGTGATATTTTGTCTTTTTTAAGAATTTGATTTACTTCTTATGACCCTTTATATACAAAATAATTTATACTGTTTTGAAAATCTTACATTCATTTATCATGTCCTTGTGTGCATTTTGACAATTCTAGCAGAGTTGCAGATTTAAATTTTCTTCTTGCTCATTTAGAATGCCAGTTTTATCCCCACCTTTCATTGGTGTTTTTTTATCTTTGTCTTTGAATGTATATGTGTGTCTTTTATTTCATGCTCATTTTTTTGATTCTACATGTGCACAAAGCAAGCCTCAAATCTACTTTCTTTTTTTCTAAACCATATCACACGTTATTGTAATACAAGTTCATTTTCCTTTTGTTTGTACTTTATTTTTTGATATCTAGACTAGTGTAAAAGGAACCATACGAATTTTCTTGCTCAGAGTTTTGGCTTAGTTCTTTAAATCTGCTCCCCTAGATTACATTAAACTAGTTCCTGTGGTGACACTTCATCTGCTGCACTTCATGATCAGTTCTACATTGTCAACAGGTGCTTTTAATAATGACTTCATGTCCACTCTGTTCTTTTGGGTTCAGTTTAATTTTGTTTAACCATTCTTACTGTTAAGTAGTATTGCAAAACACTCAATGATGAAGGTTGTCATGTCCCCCACTCTAAATATTTCATGACTGTGTTTTGCCAGATACTAAAATAAAGAAGAAAATTCTCATAATTTACAGTCTAAATTAAATTGATCTGTAGGATTGTGCAAGACCTTGAGGTATGTGAAGTAAACATGTTAACCTTGCTTAAGAGATTAGTCAAGAGAAATGACAGAGATGTTATGTCATGTCAAATAAAAGATGACACTAAAAGCTGCAAGCTAAAATTTAAGCATTTGAGAGGCTTATAACATAATGCTGCATGCTCAGAGCTTTTGAAAAACCTTTCTCCATAGATGTTTGCTTTGTTAAAAAAAAAAAAAATTGCATATATATATATATTTACAGATTTCTTCCCCATACCATTGTTTTGAAACTTCAGGGTTTTTCATTGCTGAATAACAGTCCATGTGTCAGATGAACTCTTGAAACGTAGGAATACCACTGTGATGCTTAACAAATGGTAGTTAGGCTTTTTCTTTGTTGTAAACATTAATAGTTTAGGATAAATACTTACTTCCTTTTCGTAGTATGAATGAAAATTAGAATTATATTGAACTCTTAGAGTAGTCTTTGTTTTGGTTTCGGCTTTGGCTGTCTTTCGCTTCCTTTCATCTTTCCTTACAGCATGAGTTCACTCTTGCAGAGAAGCTTACCTCTGGACCAGTGGAATTTTTTCAGCTTCAAAAATTGTACATTTCATACAAGTTGATCAGGCTGTCAATGTTACTTGTTACAGTAGTTAAGCACCCCAATGCATGACTTTGGCATAAATCTTATAGCAGCTTGCTATTTAGAAGCTTCATTTGAATATACTGAAGATTAGATTACAGACCTGAGAGAGACCGTTTAGAAGGTGAAAAAGTGCAAAGGAAATGTTTAAATATTTCTCTTGTTTATGAATGAGCTGTTACTTTTAACATTGTGTATGTAATTCAGACAGCAAATAGCTTATGAATATGTATAATTTCAGTGAAAAACATGTTTTTTCATGCTGTTCCTCATTTTGAAAAGGAAAAATGCAAAGTGCAGCTTTACTAAAAGCAGTTTCAAAACAAGTATGTAATAGGATGATATTTATACGTTTAGAACATATCTCTGTCTTTTGCTGCTTAGAACTTGATTCTGGAAGCTAAACTTTTATTACTTAGTAGAGTGGTTTACATCTTTGTTACCAAGTAAATAGAATTCAGTTCTGCAAAGCGTATTTTGAAAGCTGATAGCATCTTTTACAATCAATTATTTATGGCCTTTTCTTTTGCATAAATGCTTTTAAAATTAATTCTTTTCTTTTTTTTTGTCTTAAACAGAAATTGTAGTTGCTGAAAGTGTTGTTGTCATTAAAAAACTGCTGCAAACCCAGCCAGCACACCATGGTGAAATTATTAAGCATATGGCCAAACTCTTGGATAATATTACAGTGAGTATTTGTGCAGTGTCTTATTTTCCTTGTTGACCGATAAAAATCACTCCTTCTTGGAATTTGGTCCATAAATGGAAATAGATGTGTTAGAGAAATACAACGTAATCTTTATTTTTGACATAAAATACCATTTTTTGTGATGTTAAGGAAGAGGAAATAGAAGCTATTGGATGGCATCGATTTCTACCTTAGATCTGGGAAGTTATTTTGAAAGAGATCCTTGGAAATGTTGAGTAGTGCTAGTACCACTAGGTCAAGATGAGTAACAGGTTTAGAACTTGGAGTAGGTTGAAATGAAAATAAGGACAAAGCAGCACTTAACTTGAGGATTTGTTGTCTTACTGATCTGGGGTGGAGTTAAAAAAAAAAAATATTCTGAATCTTTTGCCCTACCCCCAGATCATCTAAGCGTTGCATGGTACCAGACATGCTATTGTGAGTGTGTTGCAATGTTTCTTGAAGTTGCATTTTTATCTTCTGAATATTTAAGATTTTGTGGCATTGAACAGAAAAATTTGGATTATTGCATATTATCTATACTTAGATTAAATTTACATTTAGATATGTCAATATTTACCTCCCAAATTCTTCTCACAGTCCCAGTTATTGATAAAATATTTAGTGGTCTATCCTACATCATAATGTAGGGTTGAAGACCATTAGCTACCTATTGCATCATACCCCAAATTTTGATCTGTCAATAATTATTTTTCTGTAGATGTTATAACCAGGACTGTTCAGTTTTATATAATTATACGTTTATTGATGATGGAGCCGTAAATAGTTTCTAAATCAGTGATTCTTCTATTTTCCATGGTTGAATTTGGCAAAGTTTGGAATATTAAGAGAAAAAAGAAATGTGGTCATCTCAGTTGATGCTTACTGAACAGATTAAACAAATAAATCTTTGCCACCAAGAGCTGATGCTCAAACTTTGTAACTGATGTAAAAAAATATAATTCTACTGTATTGCTTATATCTAGAATCAAAAGAGGGTGTAAGATACTGCTGCTAATTACATATCAAATAAGTATTACATATTTTATAATAATCACTTGTGTTTTCAGAAAATTTGTTCAATATTTTTATTGATAACTAAAATCTCATGTATTGTGCATAGTTTTATTGCACACATCTGACACTCGCAAAATGAGTTTGTCATCTTCTTTCCACATATTGTACAAGAGAAAAATAGTTCTTTTCTAAATATTCTGTTAAACACGTAAGAGTTTTGTAGGTATTCTTTTATACATAAATACTTTTGAAGAAATATTTTAAGTTTTTAATTAATTGAATTTTGGAAATTTTTTAAAGTTGAATAGGGGGAAAAGACAGACATGCTGTCTAAAAGACAGACTTGAACCACTTTGATGTACTCATGTTCTCCAATAATGAAGTTGTACAGAATATCAGAAAATAATAAGTAGTAGGAGAGCAGTCTGTTTTGAACAGAGCAGTCATAGGAATAAACAAAAAATCAAAATCTGAATCTAAATCATGCTGCATATTTGATAAGTAAGCAGTAATTGTGATGCTGTAGGCCCTCCAGAATGACTGTTGTACATCTTGTTTTACATTTGCCTTGTAATTTTTTAATAACTTCCCAAAATTTATATTCCTCAGTATGTATAGGACTTTGGTTTAAAGAATAAATTTGGAAGAAGTTCAAATTTATAATTTGAATGTCATATCATTATCCTGAATTAACTTGCACCTATTATATTTGAAAATGGATGTATTCCTTCACAGAATGGTTTGGGTTGAAAGGAACCTTTAAGGGTCATCTACTCCAACCCCATCAGACACTCCTATAAAGGATAAGCATATTTTCACATATTTAGGGAATTTCTGAGATCTGTGTGTATTTGAAACAGCGATCTTGCTACAGCAATAGTGGTTGTGAGTTGACATAATACAGTTACCTTGTTTTTTTGTCTGCACTAAGACACAGAGACACAAAGCAAGGATCCCTGACTGTTACTACATTGACGTACAATATACATACAGACACACACACTCTTGTGCACACGTTTTACATGGGTTTGCTTTTTTTCCTGACCTCTTCTGCAAGGGAAAGTATTTCTGGAAGTTTTAAATGGAAAATTAAAATATTTCTCATTTTTAAATTGGGATTGAAACTTAAGGAAACTACCGTGTTCCTCTATGCACTAGCATACCACTGTCTTTAAAGGACTCTTGCGTCTGGACATGGGAGAAGCAGCCAAATGTTATGGCCCTGAATGAACTTGAAAATAACTGGATGATAGGGGAGTGTGGGCAAATAAATTCTGTGGTGTTTCTTAGAGTTGAAATTAATTTACTACTATGTAAAACACAACCAAAAGAATGAACATAATTACATGCAATTAAATAGCAAGGCACTTAAGGTAAAAATAAACTTGGTTGTTCTGTCATGATTTGGATTAAGTGAATGGTGAACACATCATTGAAATGAAATCAGTGTAAACTGGATGGAAAACATTTTTGAGTTGGGGCCTGAATTTATTTCATTCATGTTGTTATAAGCTTCACTTGTATTAGCCTGAGATTGTGATTGTCAACGATGTGCCAAAAAATATTTTGTAGCAATGTTTCTTTCAAGTCATGCAGTCTGAAATTTACTCATTCTTGTCTTCATCTTGTCTTTATTCTTGTCTTCATCTTCATCTACAGAAGCCATTTAGAAAGTGATAGAATGGTTAGTAAGCTAAATATATCTGACCAAACATAAGAAATACTAGGAAGTTCAATTGAAAACTACAGAGCTCTTGCACTGACTCTTATTTACATTAAAGGTTAGGTTGAGGTCTATTTCAGTTTGCCCTTTGGTTGTTTCTTGCGTATCTGACAAGAGTGCTTATGTTTCTTCCTTTGCTTTTGTATGTTGTCATTTTGTAATGGTTTAACTCTGGCTAGCAGTATACCATGAAGCCGCTTTCACAAATCCCCTCTCCTCTTTTCCAGAAGAGGGGGATAATCTGAGGAAAAAGAAACAAGGGAGCTCGTAAAAATGAGATAAGAACTATTTACCAATTGAATGTAAATGAATATCTACAAGTACTACTACTAACAAGTAATTAGTATAATAGAAAATAAAACACATGATACAATATGATACTGTTGCTCACTACCCACTGACCAGTGCACAATGAGGTCCCGAGAAGTGTGAGTCAGAGCCAGAGAGCCTGAGAGCCACAGCCCAAGAACAGCAGACTCCAAGTGAACCCTATCAGCAACAGCATGACCAGGAAAACTAACAGGGCCACCAGCTTATGAATGAGCCAGCACAGGAGTTAGCAAAACAGCTAATAAAGTAGTTAGAGTGTTAGCGAGTGTAAGGAAGTAAAAGAGTAAGAGAGTAATGGCCCCTGGACCCCTTGCCCACCTATGCCCCCAGCATGACGTACTATGGAATGAAATACTCCCTTGGTCAGTTTGGGTCAGGTGCCTGAACTGTGTGTACCCTATGCTGCCTGCAGCAAGAGAGAGTTGGGAACACAGCTGCAGCATCAGAAACTGAGAGAGACCTTGAAGTTGGTGCAGTTGGTGCACTGATAAAACCTTATCAGTGCTTCCCTCATCGTAAATCCAGGAACACAGCTTCCTAGCAGCCACATAAGAGAGTTAACTCTTTCCTGACTAAACCCAGCACACATTTGTGCCTTGAACTTTTATCTCAGGTGTGTCCAGGCAAAGATCTAGAGATCTGTTTTGTGTCTGATTTGTTGAGTACCTGGACCTGTGCATGTCTGATGTTAAATAAGAGAACAACTGGATGTCTTTAAACGTCCTGTTTTTAAAATCATAAAAATGTTTCCATTTGTCTGTTAATGTGTTAATAACATAGTCACGCTAAGTTATGGTCCAGAGACCTTAAGTATTGCTAGTTTGTGCTAGATGTTTGCTCTGAGTTTGTCCTAATTATATTTGTGTTTTTAGATTGACAGGAGTTTAAAAAACATGCATGTGGGAAAGGGCCATTTAAAGAGAAATGATACTGGTTGAGCCCAAAAGTCCTCTTAATAGACTAGTCTCATCTGCAGCAGCACCAAAAGCTAGTGCATTAGGGAGAGGGATTTAAAGATAAGAGCAAGTTCATTGTGGTGCACCTCCAGTGACTGGAAGCCTGAGTTTGCTATCCACATCATCAGACTTACTAATATAAAATTGTAAGTTCCCCTCATATTCCATGTCTCTGATCAGCCTGTCCCTCTTCTCTTTGTCTTTCCTGATACTTGTGTGGTTTTTGAAGTGGGGTGACCAGATGTGTGCATAGTAGTCAGAGTATGAAAGAGAAATTTTATGCAGTAACCTAATGATATTACTTATTTTGTACTTTTTATCTCCGTTTCCTGGGGTAGCCTGCCTTTAGACTTCAGCAGAACATTGACTTAACATTTCTACAATTCTTTGAAAATATTCGTGATTCCAAGATACATTTACCTAGAAATAGTTAGGGGTCCATCAGTATGCATAGCTTTTTTTTTTTTTTTTTGGTAAGGCCTGTATTAATGTTTCAAGGCCAGCTGCATCACTTCTGCCCAGTTTTTAAGTATCACTAATAAGTCATCTTCAACTGTTCAGGCTCTGTTTTAGTTTAGATTACCTTGAATAGTTTTGTGTCAGCAGATTCTGTCCTCACTAGATAGCCCTCTTCTAGGTTACTTGCAAATCTGTTGAACAGCACATTTTCTCCTATAGGTCCCTGTGGGACATCTGATGATTGCCTTCCATTGTAACTGGGGTTTTGTCTTTTCTATTATCTAGTCCTTTTTTATTCATGAGAGTGTCTCTCCACGTTGTAAAGGATGTCATTCTCAAAGATGTTGTTGAGGGGCTTTTTCAAAAGCTTTTAGAATATTCTCTCATCAAATATGTGTCGTTTAAGTTGTATAGTCTACTTTATTAGAAAATCTTTTCTTCGAAACATCTATGGTCCAGAATTTGTCTAAGTGCAAATACTTGCAGATTTAATCTGAATTAAGTTTTAAAATGAATTGCTTAGACTGCATTGATTAAACTAGGTTAACACGAGACACTTTTGTTTACATCCAAAGTATGCCTCTTTTGATTTATCTTAATTCATTTTAGCAATGAATGAATGTAAATCATCCTAGCAAGAATTAGCTCTGAGTAAGCATGTCTCGATGGTGTTCTACATCTGTGTATTTCCTCATATAAGCAAGCCACCTTAGTCTCCAAATTAGTTTTTGCCTTTTTCTTTTTAGAAAATAATTTGTGAAGGTACATTGTACCCATTAATGTTTGCTTTCTGAGTGATGGGAATCTTGTGGTTCTGTTATGATTTTTCTCCTTACTTTCTCTTACAGTACTTTTTTTTTTTTTTTTTAACAGGTTCTTTTCCTTTTGATAGCTGATAAATTTTGACGTCCTTGATTTTCATTACAGACTTATTCCTAGATCCTTCAAGAATATGAGAGAAGTCTGGCATGTTTTCTAATCTAGAGATGAGGAGGAACACTTCTTGATGTGATAAAAACAGGATAAGAAGTTGCAGATTTAGAGTAAAAATAAGATAGATGTGTGGTACTTAGAACAGCTTAATATGTGAGGAAAACGGTTTCACTTACGGAAGCCAGTTTTGGTTGGGATTCTTATTACTAGAGCAGGTGACTGGGAGTTTTTGACACTGCTCTATCCATTCATCCGACAGTAACAAATTTAAGTTCCTCTTTAGTAAATTAAGTAGTAGTTATTCCTGTGTTTCTGATACAGCTTCACAGCAGACAGTGGCTTGCTTTCTTTAATTAAGTTCCCCTTGCCCTCAGTGTTGCAAAAGTATCACAAGGTATGGTGTTCATATGTGTTTCAGTTCTGCAAGCTTCAGAGTCTAGCATATTCTTTTCCCTGGATACACTTTACTTACATAAAGGTTTAAAAATACAGTATTAAAGCCTTAATGAACAACTCTCATAATTTGATCTTCTTTTTTTTAACTTGCTTTAGTATCTATGTAATGTTTTAGAATGAGAGGAATATATGACCTTTGAGGCATTGTGTCCAGGGACACTCTATGTTGGATTTGAAACAAATATTCAGCTTAAATAAAACACAATTTAAACAAAACCTGTACACTGTATAAAAGGTGGCAGTTGTAAGTGGAGAACCTTTTTTAGGGGAATTTTTATATTTAAAGGTTCAGATAATGGGGGAGTCCTTGAAGGTCTACCATTTGAAAACAAAAACCAACATTTGTCTTTTACTCCTATTCTTTCCTGTGTACCTTTTCTTCTTGCTGGGAGTCTGATATTTCACATCAACTTCATCCCTCTTTCAGTTTCTGATTCCAAGCAAAATTTAAAAAATTGCTAGCTGTGCAAATTTTCTTCTGAAAGCAGAGAATTAGACTTTATTTTCAATTTTAATATTTCCTTGTTTTGTGAAAAATGTGAATAACCAGAATTGGCAATTCTAAGTTGTAATTTAGCCTGATACGTTGCATACGGTTAGATCTGCAGTACAGTAGGTTTTGTGTGGTGCTGCTTAGAGTGATCTGCTGTTAGTAACCAGAGTCTTGCTTTGATGTCTGAGGGTCTGGTTGGTTTTTATTTTTAATTTATTAACCATTTTTTTATTTTCCTGCAGACAGGTAATGGGTTAAAATGGCACTAGAAACTGCCTTCTGATACTAAGGTTTAAAAAGTGCACTTAACCACTTGCTCAGGGCATATGGAATAAAACATCAGGCAAAGTAATTTACAATCCTGTTTGCCTTTGAGGATAATGCAGAGCAGAGCTGAATAATGAAAGTATTATTTCCTGCATTTCTGTCAATTCAAGGTCCCTACTTAAGCTATACTGGAAAAGGCAATGAAGGTCTAGAAGTGGCTTCATTTCTTGTTTGCTGTTTTGAATGCCCTGGAAACAATGGGTGCGGTATCATGTACTTGATACTACATGTTTGACGACTGTAAGACTTAAACAGGGAAAAAGAAGTCTGAAAATACTGTGTGATTTTGACCCCAAATGAATCCAGTGACACAGGAACATTGGGTTCATCAGTTCAACATACACTTTTCATTAAAATGGTTTCCACTTAGGGTTTGATTCAAAAAGTCTCTAATTGATATTGATTCTTGTTACACAAAATTGTGTTTAATATATACAGTATTTATGTATTAAGCGAACATACTGGTTAAAAGAGAGAGTCTCACAAGAAATTTCATCTGTCTTCTATTGTCATAATTTTTCAAATTAGTCTTTGTTTAGTCTATTTATTTTACATTCTAAAGCTAGCTTATTACTCTAACAATTTCATTTTACAAAATGGGAAAAATTTTAAAGAGTAAACCACTGTGCTTAAAAGCACACTGTTTAAATATATTTAATTGTGTTTTTAAAGTGTAGTCCTGAGTTTTACTAGGACAAGGACAATATTGATATTTGTCTTTCATAATTAGTACTGTTACTGAAATTGGTCTGCTCTGTGAGCAATTTTTACTTTATGAAAATAAAATAATAGGTAAAGGGATGTTTCTAATAGGCTGCTACCCAAACTCTGATACTTGGTGATCTCTTATATAACTCTAATATTTTAACAAGTCTGTAATGAAATATTTTAGAAAAATAAATCTAGCATATCTGAAATCTGAAGTTGCCTATACATTCTTATTTAGAGGAATCTATCTGTACAGCAGGCAACTTGAACTGCTCCAATACTGGAAAATTTAATGTACCACTCAATTACTATTCTTTAGCCCAATTTAAAATAATAGATTGGGAGTGAGGTCTTAATGCAGTGTAACCTTTGGAACATTAGAAATAACCTCTTTCCTTTCTGAAATCAGTGTACAGTAATGGCATCAGTCTTAACGTTGCGCAGGCGAACACATTCTGACTGCGTTTAAAGTTTTTATGTTTAGCAGTTGTTCAGTAGCTTGGTCATCTCTCTCACATCGTAGGTTCAAAGACCATTTAAATTTTTTGCCAGTTCAGAAAAAAAAAATCACCTGTATCTCAATCAGTATTTACTTGTACTTATCTATGCTAAATCACTGTGTTACACCACTCTCAATAGATTATCTCTACCTTAAATATCTTTTCCATGTTTAGAGTTGGCATTTATCTCTTGAGGGTGATTTCTTGTTGTTGTTGTTGTTGTTGCTGGACTCCTGAATGCTGTCTTTCTATGATCTGCTTGCTTTCTCATTCAGCAGAGGCAGCCCTCTTTTATTCCCCATGACATGCCTGTTTTATGCCTGTTTATGTTTTTGTTGGCATGTGTATTTGCAACAGTGTGGTGTAGAGGCAGATATTGTCAGGTTGACTTTATTCAAAGCTGTTGCCAACGTTTTTTTGAGCAGTAAAACATGTGTAATCATTAAAACTTTTTGTAAACTTGATTCTTTAGTATGGTAATAGTGGGCCATTTATTAGGGTCTGTGGACAGTACTTTGGGAATTGCTATCTGAATCTTGGTAGTTCACTTGCATTTGTTAACCTCTTATGAATGTAACTGTAGAGCAGTACTTCCAAATTAAATGTGTATTCAGGGTAGGACACTTCCTCATTGTTTCCCATTGTAATTCAGAGAAATAGATGGTCGTGTATGGATAACTGACATATGCTGGAAAAGTAATTAAAACATATATAAAAGGTGCTAAGAATCAGTGCTAGGAGAACCACAATGCTGAATTTCTGAAGCTTGTTTCTTCTGTGAAACTTACCTAAGGCAAAACAGGCTAGCTTAAGGGTAAGCTCATTAAAAAAGATCACTGTATAGTGCAGGGAGTAATGGAAAGTGTTAGTACAAGTATTTTTTACTGTTTCTAGAAAAAGCAGCAAAATTAGCTGAAATTGCAGTTATAGTTGGAAGATTTCCTTTTTTCTGAACTACAGCAAGTCATTTGATAGAACACAATTTTTCCCTCGTATTTCAACATCTGTTGAACAAGAGTCTGTAGAGAACATGAGAGTACCACAGCCTGAGATGCTATGCAGGACATGCTTCTGCCTAGAATTTTCTCATTACATACTTTCTTCCTTCCTCTCAAGGAAGGAGAACAATGTTTTTGGGGGAGCTATGTAACACAGATGCAATTTTTAATTTGACAAGCAGGTTATACAGGCTAGCTCACTTTGAAGAAGAGTGGGTGTATATATTTCATTTAACTCCTAACTACTTCTAGCTAATCTGTGTGGAGCATGAGCTTCTGTTTCCTTTGCTTTTCTATTTTGCTTCCCCTCTGTCTCTGACAGTGCTGTGCTGTTGAAGTCAGCACCATATGCTGGGAGTTCATCTAAAAACTGCTGCTGCTAGTTATTCTGGTGAAATAGTCAGGTAGCTCCAAAACAATTAAGAACTTTGTGAAGTTTCTGGTTAGAGTGTTTTCAGTTAAGGGGTAGATCCTATTCAGAAATTGAGAACCCTAATTTTGAACTCCGATCTCTCTGAAATGCTCCGAAATTTGCAAAAATATTAATCTTACTGTCATAAAATTTTAAATAAAAATGAAGAAAAGATAGCAATAATCTTAAAAAAAAAAAAGTGCTTTTAAAGTAGATAGGCAGGATGTGAGGAAGCCATATTGCTGGAAGACATTTCTATACGAAAAAGTGCTGTTTTGTTTTAACATGCTGTTTAGTGTAACCTGGTGGTTAATACACCCAACCCCAAGTCAAAGGCTGGTGTTCTTTTTCCCAACTGCCACCAGCTTGTACTGTGGACATGAACATGTCACTTCTGTGTGCCCTTGTTTCCATTCCAGCTCTGTCTTGTCAACTCATAGTGCATGGGTTTTGGGGCACGTTCTGTATCTTAATTTGCAGGAATATTCAGTCTGCCACAGTGACGGTATTGAACAATATTTAATCTGGGTCTGTATTTCTTGCATGGCAGTTGTCTTTAAACGGTATTTTGTTTAACTTGTTACTGAGCGCAGACACGTACAAGTACTCTTTGTGAATGTGTTAACTTTGAGTGCGCAATGTTTTCTCAGGTCCCGGTAGCCAGAGCCAGCATTCTCTGGCTCATTGGCGAGTACTGCGAACGGGTTCCAAAGATCGCACCTGATGTTTTGAGAAAGACAACCAAGAGCTTCACTACTGAAGATGACCTTGTAAAGCTGCAGATCTTAAACTTGGCTGCAAAACTCTATTTAACAAACTCAAAACAGGTAAGTATATGTATTTAGACTCGTGGTAGGTCTTGGACAGTCTGCATAGATGAGTGGTGATTTCTTTTGTACAAGCAACCAAACTGGTCTATATTCTGTGAAGAAAAGCGGAATATCAATTTTCATCATCAAGAAATCTAAGAGACTAAATCTAACCATGAGTCTTTGAGTATGTTCTGGATTGTAAATATGAATATAGTGATGAGATTACTCTTCTTTTGCTTATGTTTCTTGGGGAAATCATCCGTTTGTTTTTTTAATTCACATAAGTAGGAGAGATTTGTAAATTGTATTACTAATATCAGATAGGAGATTTTCCAGATGTGATTCACTGTTTTCTGGATCGAAGTCCAGAATTTCAAAGGAGCACTGTCAATTTGAACAAGAAGCTGCTCATTTTTTTGTTCAAGATATCTAAAAGAAGATGCCAGCAAAAGGCCTCATTATGTCCTTCCATAAGTGCTTATCTTGAAGATAGTAACTGCTTTCCCATTTTCTGTATTTCTTACTACTTCACTTTCTCTTGTGGAGATGGTGGGCTTTGATCACCTCTAATAACAGAGATAATCTAAAAGCGTCAGATAGTACAAAAAGGTGAAATTAGATCTCCAGGCAGCTGAAAACAATAACTATGAGAGGTGCCAGCTGCCTCATTCCTCTCAATGACAGCACTGTGAACTTCTTTACTCCTAGCTATGGACTATAGCATCTTGACACTATTTTTTCATTGTAATTCCAATTATTGTTGTAAAAGGTTGTAAAATCAAAGATATTTTTTTTTCATATGTAAAAGAAATACATTGTCTGAGGTGTATGCACTTTCGTGGGCTGCTGGACCACTTTGTTTTACAACAGCTTGGACAGCACAGTATCTCATACCTCTGTGGTGTCTTCTCATTCCTTGATAGCTATATCCAGCTGCAGACTTGATCTGACTGAGACTTTATTTCATAGGGCATATGGGAGATGAACTGTCTTGCTGGGCATTAAGATAAGAATGAATGCTTGTCCTTCGCTTATACAGACTAAAATGGGGCAGGGTGAGGGGCGCAGTTACAAAAACTGACTTCTGTCAGTGCTCATCTTAATGAAAATGCTGACTGAGCTAAGGAAGATGGGTTTGATTATTTAAACTGTCTCCTTTTGGCCCATTACATGGTATTTACTAGTTTTCCGTATAACTTTCGTAATTTTACAATTACTTTTCCACACTATATTTGACCAAAAAAGCATTGCCTACACAGACATTATTTCTGTGATGCTCTTTTTCCAGTTTAATGTTTTAATATATTTTACACTACTGTTAGAAGTGTTGTATAACCCTTTATTCAAGTATGGTAAAGATGATAAAGCTGAAGAAAGTGTCTCCTGAGATGCCTACTAAATGATGAATTTCATCAAAGAGTGTTTCCCTTTTTTGGTTTTAGGTTGTGGAAGAATAAGTTGTCTTCTCAAGTGATCAAGCTACTCATATACAATATGCTAAGAGTAGGTTGATGACTTGGCTTGATTCAAAGCTCCTTCCAAACTAGAATATGATGGTGTTGCCTTTAGGAGCTGGCAACATTCTTCCTATATCTGCATCCTTATTCCCAGGAGTAACTCTTCTTTACATACTCACTGTTGTGTCGTGGTTTAACTCTGGTTTAATCTTTCTTTCTGAAATGACTATAATTCCTAATTTCTAACCACTTACAATCTCATTTTTCAAACTTAATTTTTAACTTAAGGCAAATCTTTTACACGTGATTGCTCAGTTGTCAGTCAGTCCATCTTTCCTCATCCCCATGTTTTCTCTCTCTGCATCCTACCCCATCTCATAGTACTTGCTTGAATCCCTGTAAGAAGCTGAAAACTATTTGAGCAAGCACATTAATATTGTGAAATATGACAGAGTCTGCACACCATGACTGCCTCACAGAATAGTAAGTTTCATCCAAAGTCAATGGAATAGTGCAAACCTCAAAGATACAATGTCACTTTATTGAAAATTAGTGGTCAGATAGCCAAGAGAGACTTAACACCAACCAAACAGACAAAAAAAAGCTCTTTTCCCAAGGTGAGGGAAAGGCAGGTAAAACTCATCTGTTAAGTCATGTTTGGAAAAAAGCACAGAATTTTGAAGGAAATAAAGACTTGGTTATTTTTCTCTTTCTGGAAATACATTATTTTGTATGCTGATAATTTCCTTAGACATATGCTCAAACACTTAATGCAGCACGTTCTCAGCAATGTGTTTTAAGGTTCAGGATTATTTTATAAGAATTTCCAATATCTTTTACATCCTGTGATCACCCCGTGAATTTTCAAAGGTTGTTTGTAATTTAACAAAGAGTTCCACTCCCAGTCCTATCTGGATAAACAGGTAATAAGAACAGGCTATACTCTGGTTATCTATGTTGTTTGGTGAATTTACTTCCTCTTTTCTTCACTTAAGGACATAAAAATCCTTATAAATGTGCTAGATAGCTGTCTAAATGGAGCTGATGCAAGAGAAAGTGTTATGCAGAAAATATGCTGTCTAATTGCCTTAGCTGTTTCTTGCTTGGAAGAATGAAGAGGTTTTGATGAGTATCTGTTGTGTAAAACAGTAGGAGTCCCATGAGAAAAAGTCCCAAGTGGTCGTAGCATTTAAATAGATACATCCAGTGTGGTTTAGCACAATAGCCTTATTTATCTAAAGAATCAAGTTATTGCAAGTTCATGATTTCAAAGAGTGAATAGATAGCTGTTACTCTGCCACTGTAAAGCGTCATCTGTTGATGATAATGAATTATACAATTTTTCAGGTGTGGATCTACCAAAAGGTTAATTGCTGCTAATATAGGATCGGCATTAAATTCTTTATTGGAACTATTGCCACTATAAAATTCTAGAAACGTTGCTAAAGGACGACTTGAAGTATACTTTTCGTATTAACGAAATGAAAATGTACAAAAACCATAGTAATAGATTATAACAGTGTAAGGATAAAAGAAATTATATCCTGCCTATATGTAGTGGGTTGACCCTGGCTGGACACCAGGTGTCCACCAAAGCTATGGTATACACTCCCCTTTTCAGCTGGGCAGGGGAGAGAAAATATAGCAAAAGGCTTGTGGGTCAAGATAAGGACAGGGAGGTCTCACCCATTACTATCACAGGCAAAACAGACTCGACTTGGAGAAAATTAAGTTTATTGCCTGACAAATCAGAGTAGGATAATGAGAAATAAAACCAAATCTTAAAAACACCTTCCCCCCTTCTTCTTCCCCCACCCCTCCCTTATTCCCAGGCTCTGTTTGGTCCCAGTTTCTCTACCTCCTCCTCCCCAGCAGCTCTGGGTAATGAGGAATAGGGGTTGCCATCAGCCCATCACACATTGTCTCTGC